TCAGACCAAGGACCAATCCCGGGTCTCCAGGATCACACCCTGGGCTGAAGGCGGCGCTAAACCGCTGAGCCATCAGGGCTGCCCAACAATTATTTGTTTTATATGATTTATATAATTATATTATCATATTTTTTAGCATCATGTGCCAGGGCCATTCTGATCTGGCTGCTGCCTGCAATCCCAGCATCAGCTCCCGCAACACATTTGAATTTTTTGCATTCAAGTGATTTCAAGTTACTTAGCACTGACACATTGCCCTAATTTCATGCCCTGTCCATCTGAAATATATTTTACCTCTTCTTAGCCCTTTACCAGAAATTCCTCCTTAATCAGCATCCACCTTCCCTTACACTCATTCCAACACACGGTTCTTAGACTAAGGAAGATACTCAGAATAATCTGTGCATTTAGCTATCATTGCCTTTATTACCTTATTTTGTAACCATCTGTTCGAGTCTCCTACATCCTCCCTGGAGTGTCATATTTGGGGGTTAGAGACCATGACTTATTTACCTTTGTGTCCTTAATACAAAGTATAGGACCTGGTACACTCAATATCAGCTTGTTGAATGGATAAATGATGCTCAAATTAGAGCTTTTACTATAAAATTATGGTAATAGTAAGGATTATGTTGTGTTTATGTTTCATTGTGTTTTGATTTTAAAATTAAGATATTCTCTTGGTTAAACCTTTTGTTCCAGTGAGCAATAACAAAAAATACATTACAATTTCAGCAGTCAGATCACACTTCAGCATTATATTTTTGCCTTTCTCAAAACAAACCCAGTCTTTTCTAACACTTTCTTTGCTGGCATCTGTAATCAAGAGATTGGTTTTCACCCATACAAATCAAATATCACCAATCATAACATAAATGTGAAGAGGTGATTACTTAAATTTGTGACTTTACTTTTCTTTGCTAAGACTATTTGATGTTCTATATTTAGTGAGCAGAGTTCATGCAAGCTCTGTCTGACCAAGTCATTAAAACCACATTTGAAATGGAATGAGAAGATTTTTGTGTGGAGCTGCTTTTATGTGGCTGTGAAGTCTGTCCTTTAATTAGCATTCCTATCTGTTTGTAAAACATGTTGTTTAATCGAATTTCTATATTAAAAAAAAAGAAATGAAAACACAGGAGCATTTCTTGCACAAAGAGTGATAGAAAAACATGTTGGAATTTTCAAATCAAAGCTATATGAGCCACTTAAGGTTGAATAGCCGTCATCTCTGCAGAAGTTCAAATGGGCATAAGAGCCAAGGGCAGTTGGACTTGGGAGACAAGCACTGAGGCTAAAGCTGAAAACCTAGCTGAATGCAGAGTGTCTCTCTGAGAAACATGGTTGTTATTTTAGTTAGAAGTAATTGCTGGTCAATAGGAACTGGCTTTGTCACTTCTTCTGTTTTGAACCAAGCCTGATGAGTCTCTTGTTATCCATGGAGATGTTACCTCCACCCCTAGAACACTTTTTAACTCACTATCTCCTTTGGACAAGTGATTGAGTTCCCCTGTAATATCTTTAATGGACACTGTGTTGTTAAACCGAGGAAGCTTGGGATGGAAGAGACAGATATTTATTTTTAATGGAGTCACCTTGTATCAGGTGAAACTTTCTGCTTATGGGTCAAATGCAAGTGTCACACTGAGTAGATGTTTCCGTAAGATGAGCTTGTTTATGCTACAGTTCCCTGATCACCTGTCTTTGAAAGTAAGCACCACTAACAGGCCTGTAAGTCATCCTTGTTGACAACTGGTGGCATGGAATAGTAAGATTCAAGGATGTAAATTGGACATTTTTTTCCAATTTATATATAATTTTTTGGTTTTTTGATATTTTAGACACTGATAATTATAGCAATTCAAGCTTCTCTTTGTCTGCTATAGGGCAAGACTTGGTAAAACGTTAGACTTTCCCTTGTCCTGCTGAATATGATTAAGCTAAATTCTGTGATAAAGAATTCTTGAACTGTGGAATTTATGCCTTGGGAACTACCCTTCTTCAAACTTTTTATCTTAAGTACTTTAGAAAATATTTCTAGTAAATTAAAGTTAAAAAGGCAATGTTATTACTCTACCTGTGATATCGGAGGCAGGCATTAGGAATCAAAAACACACTAATGCTTCATTTTCAGCTTTAGAAAACATACAGGTGTCTCATATTGTACATTGATGCATTCTTATTTTTTTTCGTTGTTCTCTTTTTAAAATTCAAAAGAAGGGTCAGCTTTAGCTCAAGCGGTTACTTTGCCATTTGTCTTCTGACTGTTACTTCGCCATTTGTCTTCAGACTAAAGTTCAAAAGAATTACTAAATTGTATATATTTCAGTGATTGTAAGTTTTGGTTATGGTTCTGCTACTAACTAGCTGGATGAAATGTGTATATGATTTAATTTACAAATAAAATAATGGGATGAGATGGTGGATTTCTCACAACTATTTTAATTTTATAAGTTATGATCTTGGGCTCTTTGGGAGGCCAGAAGATTTATTATGTTACCTATAAACTAACTTTATATGATTTTTACAAAGTCTTTGTGCAGTATTTAACTTTTTAATTTCTGTGAAATTTGAACCTGCTATATCTGGTTCCTTAATAGTTTCTTCTGATGAGTAACAAAATAATGTAACTGACAAGGTCTTAGAAAGTAGCCATGATGTTAACATTCTTGAAGGCTTATTACAACATACCTTCCTTGAGCTATCATGATGTTGCTCATACTCCTAAGTATTCAGTGAATGAACCCAGCAAGGTATTTGGCTCTAGAAACCCAGCTCAAGACATATACTAACCACCCCCTTTGCAGCAATGAGGGATTATTTTTCCCTTTTAAAAAAGACTCTTAAAAAAAAAAAGAAAAAAAGTTTGCCTATAAGACTAAAATATGGGGAGAATGCCCCTAAGCAGTAAGTTATTCAGTTCAGGCTGGACGATAAAAATCTACCCAGTAGCTACCATGTTCCAGGCTTTTGTCTAATTAGCGGGGATTAAAAATATATTAGACAACCTGCAGTAAGAATCTTATAACCTAGTTGATGTGTCAAGTTACCTGTAAAGACACTTTTAGTACAATGTGGTAAATTCAGTGTGAACTCTGCCATGCATACAGAAAAAAGGAGCCTTTTGGGAAAATCCTTGGAGGGAGGTTGGACAGAGGAATCAAAGAATGATTCCAGGAAAGATAACTTCATGCTCCCTTTTTTGGAGTCAAACCTTACTCTTGCCCTTACCAATTACAACTACTGATCTATTCTCTGTCCCCATAGTTTTACATTTCCTAGAATATCATATAAATAGAAGTGCACAGGTTGTAGCATTTTGTACCTACCTTCTTTCACTTAGCATAATACATTTGAAATTCATCCATGTGGTTGCATCAATCAATAATAATTTTTTTAATGTATTGCTGAAGACTTCACTGCACGGCTATACCACAGTTTACCATTCACCAATTTAAGTACATTTGATTGTTTCCAGTGTTTAGAGATTATATATAAAGTTGCTATAAACATGCATGTACAGATTTTTGTGTGAAAATAAGTTTTCATTTCTAGAAATGGGACTGTTGGGCCATGTGGTAAGTGTATGTTTAACTTTATAAGAAACTGAGAAACTGTTTTAAAGAGACTTTTTGCATCTTCATTAGAAATGTATGAAAGTCCTAATTACTTTGAATCCTCATCAGTACTTGATGTACTTGATGTTGTCAACTTTTTTTTTAGCTACTCTGCGGTATGTGTAGTATTTCATAGATTTTAATTTGCAGTTCCTTAATGACTAATCCTGTTGAGCATTTTTCTTGTGCAATTTGCCATCCAGATATCTTCTTTAGCCTAACCTTTTGCCTATTTTTAAACTGTGTCTGTTTTCTTAGAGTTGTTTTAAGGGTCCTTTTCATATTCCTGATAAAGTACTTTATTTGGTATTTAATTTACAAATACTTCCTCTCCTATCTTTCCATTTCTTTGAGTCTTTTGCAAAGATTTTGACTTTGGTGAAATTCTATTTCTTTTTTTTCTTTTTTTTTTAAAGATTTATTGATTGGTTGATTGATTTTAGACAGAGTGCAAATGGGGAAGGAGCAGAGGGGGAGGAAGAGGGACAAGCAGACTCTGTGCTGAGCATGGAGCCAGATGCTGGGCTCAGTCCCATGACCAAGGTCTTGTCCTGAGCTGAAACCTAGAGTCTGATTCTTAACTGAGCCATCCAGGTGTCCCTATTTTTTTTCCTATATAGATGATGCTTTGGTGTTATTTTTTTTTTCAATTTAAAATGTCTTTTTAAGAGGTTCTTGGTTGGTTCAGTTGGTTAAGAAACTGACTTTTCATTTTGGCTGAGGTCATGATCTCAGGTTTGTGGGATTGAACCCAATGTCAAGCCCTATAGAAGGTTCTGTACTGGGCATGGGGTGCGCTTAAGATTCCCTTACTCCTTCTCCTTCTGCCCTCTTCTCTGCTTATTCTCTCTCTCTCTCTGTCTCAAAAAAAAAAAAAAGAGTCTTTAAAAGTATTTGTAGCCTTAGAATGCATGCAATTTTTTATTGTCTATTTTCATTAAATATTATATCAAGAGCACCTTTTGGTGTTATTATATACTTTTTAAAAGTATATATTACTTTCATTCATTATTTAAAAGAACATATTTTCCATAAAAGATAATAATATATTCATTTGTTCAATATAAATTCATTGAATACCTATGATGTACAGAGCATCATAGTAGCAAGAAAAAAGTAGCATTCCTTTCTTCCACTCTAAACTTACATTATAGTTTAACATTCTCCAAAATTACTTGATCTAATTATTAAAAATGTAGATTATCTAGTTCTTTCCCTGAAAACTAATTTAATAGGTATGAGGTACAGCCTAATAAATTTTTTATAATTGCCTGTAAGTCAAATTTTAAAAACATTAATCACATGGATAGTAATAACATTATATAATGTTTCATAATCATTTTAACTTTATTAAATATTGAGATTGATTTTTGCTCTCTACAATAAAAAATCACGTTAACAGTGTGCTTTCATTACTTTTAACAAAGTCAACCAACACAAGGTAACAATAAAGATGAACAATAATAGACTGATAGAGAGATCCACATACATATGTACCCCTTGAAAACACAATACGTTCTGTTCACAGAAACTCTTCAGCAGCTGATCACAGCAATGTCCAGGATGCTTAAAAAGTGAGCAATATTGTCTTATCTTTGTGTGTACCTAACTCGAGTCCACATTTGTGGAAATAAAATACAGTTGACCCTTGAAAAACATGGGGATTAGAAGCACTGACTCCCAGTCAAAAACTCCCCTCAAAACCTAACTACTAACAGCCTAGAGTTGACCAGAAGCCTTAACAATAACATACACAATCAGTTACCACAAATTTTGCATGCTATATGTATTAGGTAATATTACAATAAAGTAAGCTAGTTAAAAGAAAATGTTATTTAAAAAATCATAAGAGAAAATACATTTACAGTGCTAGACCATATTTATAAACAAAAATCCATGTATAACTGGGCCCATGCAGTTCAAACCCATCTTGTTCAAGACCATAACTGTTTCTTTTCATGACTAACTCAGATGAATGGTATAAATGAAATTTTTATTGTTTTCTTGACAATGTATTAATGCACTTTCAAAATCCCAGAGCTATGTAGAAAGAGGAATAAAACTCTGAAGGGTCTATATAATTGAAAAATTTGGAAGAATTCTTAGCCAAGCAACTGATGTTCTTTTCAACAAAAGTTATAATCCAGCTGCGCTGTTTTTAGTTCTCTGAGCTTCTAACTCTACATTTAGTCTCCAGGTGGGAAAGCTGAATACCCAGGAAAGTTGGCAAAAAGCACGTGATTATTATGATTGGATCCAAATATGAGAAGTTGAAATAAAACATTAATACAAATCCACTTCCTTCATTGACCTTAACATTGCCTCCGGGTTTATCAAAATAGTACATTTATGACCTGGTTATCTGCTTCCTGAAACTTCCAATTCCTTAATTGGCTTTAAAGTATATACACCTATGGAGAAAAAGGAAAAATTTATTTGAGTTAGGGATGCTTAGTCTTTTACTTCAGACAAACATGTACAGTCAATTTTTCTAGAAAGAGATGAATAATTTCCAGAACTTTAGGATTCATGGTTTACAGTATTCAAATAATCATTGGTGAGTAAATTGCAAGTATCTTCTATTCACTATAAACTGAAAAAATATAAAAGTGAGGAGTGGTAGACATACATAAAGAACAAGTTTTATTATGAAAAATATATATTCAATACCTATTTTATATCATAATTACTGCATCCTACTTTTTAAATAATTATTCTCACCAAGTTCTAAAAATATTTCTCAAGTGCCACACTTTGGTGTTGCTCCATCTGAGAATTTCAGTGCTTGTACCCTTTTTTTCAGGAATAAAGCCTGGCCCATTCATTTAACAAATTCCTACTGCTTCTTAAAAATATAAAAACTACTCAACTCACCTGAAGGTAAAGGAGAAAGGAACTGACCTTTTCTATGCTGTAGATACAAGCAATTTTTAATGGTTCCTCTCATTTGACCCTGACAATAATTTTTCAAGGGTGGTATAAACATTTTAGGGATGATGGAAACCGAGGCAGAGAAACTTAAATAAGCCTTTTAACCTTGACATCTTGCAGCTCTCAATACTGGAAAAAGTGATCCCTTTTTCTATGGAGTGCAATCATATGATCTCACGAATATGTTATAAATTGATGTCAGAAATGAAACTATAGAACATGTCACATAATTACAGGATTCCTTACTAACCTTTGAAAGACAGTAAAATAATACTCACAATCCTTAATATATTTATAAGATGTGTGTGTCTAAATGGTTGTGTAACAGTTTAGGGAAAAGAACAATCTCTATTGAAGCATTTGTCCACAAATTAATCAATTTCTCTCTCTCTTTCAACATTTATTAAGCAAATATTATTAAACTAGTACTTTAATCCACATTGTCATTTTTTAGAATGCAAACAGAATTTTGTGATTCCTTATTTATTAAATGAGGAGACGACTCAAAAAGATGAAGGTGATTCATGTAGTTAGTGGACACAGTTGGGATCCGGTCAGATCGCCTTGAATCCAAGACCTTGACATTGTTTTGTCCCGTTTCTTATCTAGATGGTTAACGAATTGCTAAATCTGCAACATATGCTGTACTTTCCACCTTGAATTTTTACATTTCATCTTAAATGGGCATCCCGGCAATTCCACCTGAAGCTGACTTTTCTTTTCTTATGCTTGCCTTATCATTTCTCCTCTCCAGGTTGGTATCTGATAAAATCTCCCAGTTTTGCTTTAATTGGCATTGGCAACATGTGGTCTCTGATAAAAAGCATATTTTCTTTCACGATTGCAATCATCAGTTAGGCTCATTTTTCTTGGCCCCACCATCAAGCTGAACTTATTTGGAAAAAGAAACAGCAGCTTGTGGGTTACTTAAATGCCAGAGAGCTGAACTTAAAAAAAGAGAGAGAAAAAGTCATACAGGAAAACAACTTAAAAATACATTTCAAAAGCCGTGTGTGTGTGTGTGTGTGTGTGTGTGTAAGCATAGACTTGCTTCAATCACTCTGTTCACGTATAACATACATGCAGAATTAGTCTGTGTATGCAAAACTCATAAAGGGCATGATTTTTACCCATAGCCTATTTATTCCAAACACAGCTAAATGAGGAGGCCAAATATAGAAAGTGATGCTCCAGGGGTCCTACGGCCTATATAGAATTTAAACTCAAGTGATTTGCAAAATCACTACTAAGACAGCTTGCTCATACTGTCAGCATGCCAGCACCAGAAGCTTGTGGTGTATTTTTGTCTTGGCAGATGCACATTCTGTTATAAAGGTCTGTTCATCTGATGCCTTCCTTGTTTGCAGGTAATGCTCAGCGCTTTCTTGCAGGGGAAGGAGTGTTGTTGAGCCCACGTCCCTCTCCCTGTCCTGTAGGGGAGATGGTATCCACTGACTCTGGCTGGGGGACTAATGTCCTGGGTTACCGCCATCACAAGTTCATTTCTGCACCACAGAACTGCATGCTGGTCATGGGTGCTCTCATTCCTTCCTTTTTCTAGGATTCAGTTTTATTTTCAGTATTTGTCAGGGCAGAGGTAAATCAATCATTGTATTAGGGGATATTGGCAATGATTACATTTCTTTAAAAGTCACCTTAGGTTTGAGGAGGTTTTTATTTTCTTTCTTTTCTTTTTTTTTTTTTTTTGAGATTAAAACATGGTTTCCCAAACTGATTAACATAGTTTTTAAGCCACTCTGAAGTGTTTGTTAGGCTTCCATGCTGGTCTCCATATGCCTCTTTTCAATTACATGTGCCGCCACAAGTATGGCTAAATGAAACGCTTCTTTAAAAACAGAAAGCAAACTGTTAGGCTTTGTGCAGTGTAACTAGCTAGAGTGTGACATCTCAAACTGCCCTGATTTCATCACCAAACTGCTAAATGTTCTGATTGCAGAAATAGCCATGAAATGTATCTTAAAATGAGATAACTCTGTGGGAACTAAAGAAGAGGAGGAGAAATGGAAGGGATTAAAATAATATGAAATGGAATTTAAATCATAGTTGTCCTGGAAGCTATCTGTAGAGAGGATTTTCATTATTGTGTGGTTGTAAAAAAAATAGTAATAATAACCATAATAACAATAATTCTAACGTTTATTGACTACTTCTTATATATTAGGCATTATTCTAAAATCTTCACATTATGTCTATTTATTAGGCCAATTACTTAATCATCACAGTAACTCTATAAGAAAAGCATTAGAATTTTAAACATATTAAGAAACTGAGACAGAGAGATATAGTAATTTTTCTAAGGGTCAGAAGCTAGAAAGTGGTGCAGCTGAGATCAAGACTAGGTAGTGCGGCTCCAGAATTTGAATTTTATTTTAAGGTTACTTAGAGAAACAAATGCAAGGATTATATTAGGAAGCCCTTTGTTCATCTATGCTCGTATTGTTCTTCAGTGGGTTATATTACTAGATTGTAAGTTCTCTTGTATCACCCACTAGAGTGCCTGTCATATATCCAGTTCTCAGGAAATGTTTGTGGAATAAATGAATAAATGAATGAATGATATCTTACTTTCTGGGAAGTGCCATAAGTAAACCAATTAGAGTGCAAAACAAGACATCAGTTGGACAAAACAAACAAACAAACAAAATACAACTTGTGAAATATCTATTCAGCTTCTCATTTACTCTTTTCTTTTTCTAGCTTTATTGAGATGTAATTGACATATAATATCATGTAGGCTTAAGGTGTACCATGGATGATTTGATACAGGTATCTATTGCAAAATGTTTACCATGATAAAGTTACTTAAGGATGTGAAGGTGATCTGGCTGTGACACCTGTCACCCCATTGATCACTAGGGTGGATTCCACTGATCTGGCTGGCTAGGCAGGTGTTCCTTTCCTCCCTTACTGCTGCATGTTTTTCCCTCCCAAATCTGCCCACTGGCTGGAAGAGGACAAAGAAACAATAAAGCTACTTAATACATCCTTCACGTCACCTAACTACCATTTTGTTGTTATTGTTGTCATCGTTGCTGTTGTAATGGTGAGAACCTTAAAGTTCTACTTCAAAGCAACATTCAAATACATAATACAGTTTCATTAGCAACAGTTACCATGTTGTACATTAGATCCATAGAACTTATTCATCTTATAACAGAAAGTCTGTACCCATTGACCAATATGTCCCCATTTCTCCTACCCTTTAGCCCCTGGAAACCACAATTCTACTGTTTCTATGAGTACAATCTTTAGACTCCACATATAAATGAAGTCATACAGTATTTGTCTTACTCTGTCTTACTTATTTCACTCAGCATAATACCATCAAGGTCCATCTATGTTGTTGCAAATGGCAGAATTACCTTCTTTCTCATGACCAAATAATATTCATACAGATATAGATAGATATAGATATAGATATAGATATCACATTTTCTTTATCTATTCATTCATCAACAGATTCTTAGGTTGTTTCCATGTTTTGGCTATTGCGAATAGTGCTCCAGTGAATGTAGGAGTATACATATCTGAGGTAGTGATTTTATCTCCTTTAGATATATACACACAAATGAAATTCCTGAGTCAAATGTACTTCTATTTTATAATTTTTTGAGGAGCTTCCATACTATTTTCCATAGTGGCTGCACCAATTTATATTTCCACTAACAATGCACCAGAGTTTCCTTTTCTCTACATTTTCACCAGTATTTGTTATCTCTTGTCTTTGAGATAATAGCCATCCTAACAGGTGTTGGGTAATAGTTCATTGTGATTTTTATTTATATCTCCTTGATGATTAGTGATACTAAGCCCATTTTCAGGTACTATTGGCCATTTATATGTCTTCCTTGGAAAAATGTCTATTCAAGTTCATGCCCATTTGTTAATTGAATTGTTTTTTTGGCATTGAGTTTTATGAATTCCTTACATATTTTGGATTTTAACTCTTATCAGATACATGGTTTGCAAGTATTTTATCCCATTCCATAAGTTGTCTTTCATTTTATTGATAGTTTCTTTTGCTGTGCAAGAGATTTTTACTTTGATGTGTTCAGTTTTGATTTTGTTGCTTATCCTTTTGGTGTCATATCCAAAAGATATATTGCCAAGATAGACATTAAGGAGCTTTTTTTCAGTGTTTCCTTCTAGGAATTTACTTTTCAGGTCTTCTGTTTAACTCTTTAATCCATTTTGAGTTAATTTTTGTGGGTGGTGTAAGATAGGAGTCTAATATTATTTTTTGCATATTGATATCCAGTTTTCCCATACCATTTATTGAATATTATCCTTTCTCCATTGAATATTCTTGGCTCCCTTGTCAAATAAGTGTTGGTCATATATGTGTGAGTTTAGTTCTGGGCTCTCAATTCTGCTCCAGTGCTCTAGGTGTCAGTTTTTATGCCAGTACTATGCTGTTTGATGACTATGGCTTTGTAATATAGTTTGAAATCAGGAAGTG